TGGTAAACAACGATGATCTTCCAAAAGGTTACTTATTTGGTGACTAGCAGGATCGATCAGATTGATCCTAAGACATGGTTGATTTTCTGGAGTTTGACTAATCCTAATGATGATTAATGTCAGTAAAGTAAAGATACTTTAAGTAAATTGCATGAAGAAAAGCTTAATAGAATAAATAAAAGCGTTAAGTAAAAGGCTTCGATAGAGATAAGTAAATGAAAAGCGATAAATTGCTTGAATATAAAAGACTTTGATTAATTTAAATGGTGTTTCACACATACATTCTCAATGATTCGTTCTCTCACGCTGGGTACTTGAATCTAAATGAGTGACTTGTATAAAATGATGAACACACGCGAAAACTACGTGAACAACTAGTATTTATACTAAAATAAATCCTAAGTAACCGCTGGGCAGTTATGTTGCTTCGAGATGACGCCACATGGCATGCTCACAGCCTTCGACGCTTCTGTTCTCGGCACGTTGCACTTGGTAACTGCTGGGAACCGTTTTCCCTCCAACAATTCAAATCTCAAATTGTTCGACCTTGGGCATCAGGTACCTTTGTCGAGAGTTTCCTTCGACGTCGAAGACAACAAGATTCCCACTTAAAGGAATTTCTCTAAGTATCTTGTCATTCTTTGATGAGCCTTCGACATGATCAGCTGGTCGAAGCCTTCTTATGTAGGAAACTCTTCTAACTCATAATTAATGGTCTATATGATAACAAACAAGGGTGTCGAATTTAGGAGCCAACAATGAGTTCACATACTTTATTGAAAAATACATCCGAAAGAGATTATCGAGCCCTAATCTTGACACGCTTTTGCCAAAAGTTTAAAACCAAAACTTTATTTTATCGATACTTGATACTTTGCATGAAATCGAAACTTTTCGTACTAAAACCAAAATCAAACTCTTTTATGAAACTTAAGCTTAAAACGATTCTTTCACTCTTGTTTGACAGACTTCCTCTATCCTTTTCAATAGATCTTTGTAGGACGCCAATAATTCAACATAAGAGTTATCTTCTATAATAGAATTACACCTTCCTATTAGGGCAGTAACAGAACCAACAAGCTCTTTCATAGGGGATTTATCTCCTTCATAGTTTGTTCTAAGAATATCCCAGGCATATTTAACAGTAGTGTAAATATCTATCTTTTGAGGTCATCCTTCAGAGTTTGCAGAAGCTAACTCGTTTTCCTCTTTGGACCAATCCTCCTTTGACTTCAAGGACTCAATCTCATCTTTGTTTTTCATTACAGGATGACTCCATCCTTTCATCATAACTTTCTATGATTTCCTGTTCATAACTTTTAAAAAAAGTATCATCCTATCTTTCCAAAAAGCATAATTTTCATCCTCTAATACAGGGGGTTTATCCAACCGTTCACCTTTGTAATCCATAGTGCCAGAAAATATATCCTTGAATTTCACTCAGTAACCAGAAAAGGGAGTCTACTCTTGATGCCAATTGAAATTTTGGCACGCACAATACCAAAAATCAAGACTGATGTCTTAACAACACACAATGCCACGATAGATGTTATAACATCTTCTAACAGAACAACAGCAAAAAAAAATAACAAAGCAGAAAGTAAAGAACACAACAATATGTTAACCTAGATCGGTGCTACTCACCTATTCTGGAAGATACCAAGCCAGGAAGGAAATTCACTATCAGTAGTACTAGTTCAAAGCTAAACTCCCCCATTTACAATTTATCGCTTAATCCCTACCCAATGCAACTTCTACCTAGGTCCTCCCTAGATACGAGAAGTCATCATCTCACTTCCAATCACCGTAGTGATAAAACTTCCAATCACAGGGAAAAACAATTCCAGTCCCAATAACTCTTAGGAAATACACACTCCCCAATTGCAACCACACTTAGTTTGCTTAAAAGCTTTACCAAGAACAATACTCAACTCGTGCCTACGGATTTTGAGTGAGAACAATAACTTGACTAACAGTCAAGCACAATCAGTCAACTCAAAAATATCAAAGATACATGAGGACGTATAAAAAAGCTGAAACTCTCTTGAAGAACTCTCAAACCAAAAACTAAGAAAATTTGGCTTCCCCTTATTTTTTTACAAAGTTCTTAATGTTCTTAGGTCTAGGTAGTTTCTTTAAATACTCTTCAGCAATCTTTGGGCCTTGAATCTTCGTGCAGATATTTCTTGTCCACACTAAGAGTTGCACCAATCTGTGCAGAGAAATCTCCTTGAATCTTGGAACAAAACACAATGTTTCCTAATTAGTCTCAATCAACCAATTATAGCAACTTGTGTACAATTGAAGATATTATTTGTTCCAGATTTAAATATCCTTGACATGCGAAAAATCAATGAGATAAACCAAAAGGAATCTCACAAAATCATTTTAAATCTGTCAAGAATAAACCAAACTGTAGTACCACCTGCATCAGACCTAAGATTGCATGTCATTGTCTTCGACATCTGGCAGAAAAACTCATAACAACAATGATGTTATAGAAGACCATGTTTTTGGCAAAATTTAGCCAATCCCAAAACAATGGTATTAACAACTAGCAAGGAGAACCAATGCGAGATATGTCAGTTCCATATGACTAGCACAAAGTCTGATAGCATAATTAGAATTAATGATAAAGCAATCAGACTAGTTCATTAAAAATACATACCCACTAGCATCAAGACTTGCTTGAGGGACTACTAAACGCATATATATTAATACTATATTACATGTTCATTACCAACAACAAAAATACCATATATATATTCTTCTGAAGTTATAGAACTTACCTATTGTCTCTCAAGCAATTATCAACTGAGGGAGGCTGCTTGAAGAGCTCTTCTGCTTGAATGAATTATGCATTCCAAAGCACTGATGAATCCTTTGGAATGCTAGCTTGCACACTATATACCTGAACCAAACAATGCCCATAAAACTCTTGTTATGCTTCTGCATAAAAGGTGGGAAATAGTTTCATGTAACTCCTACTTCCTTATTTTTTTCACATATGACAAGAATTTTTTTCTCAAAACGCTTTCACTAGCAATGTTCATAAAAATGTTAACTTACTGGTGGGCATACCCAATAAGCAATTATTCAAACTGAGACAAATTTGAGCATACCAAACTGGTGAGCATACCAAACTTGTAGAAAAAAGACGCTAAAAGACAATCAATATTCACTTGAAAAAGTATATCCATCAGTTACTGTTTAATTTGATCGTGGCCCTAAAATCTCATCATTCAAACCAAACAAACACGTGTAAACTAATAGCAACAAAACTTAGAAATTCTAAGCCATAATTCTTCAGTCTTTTTATCATACAATCTTGTTTGACAGACGAAGCTTATAAACCATAGGGTGTGTTTGGTCATAAGATTATCAACGCATCGAATTTCGATCTTTGTTCTTATTCTATTAAATATTAAGAAACATAAACTATGGATGGATAATGTCACATTCAAAGTCTTTTCACCTTGCTCTATTTTTTCCTCTAATTAGGCCAACATAATTCAAACTCATATCTAGAAAATAGTATATCATTCAAACCACATGCATCAACAACAATACACTTCCTATAAAAAAAACAAAACAAAATCATATGAAATGTCATTGTTAGTAGACATTAGTCACTGTAACAGCAAACTGTTCTTCCTTCCAAACCTTACTTTGAATATTTAACTAACCGGTTTGGTTTTCAATTTGGTCACTATAGTAACTAGGTAGAAGACAAAAAAGTGTGAATAAATAGAATTAGTAGTAGCAAAGATAACAAAAAGCCTTCCACATAATCAATGTGCAATCTTTTTAAGATTATGATTGTCAACATTATCCATCCAATGGAATTAGCTTACAAAGCAAATTCTTCTATAAAAAAAAGTGACACTGATGAACAATAGATGTTTCACATAATTCTAACTGAACTATGTAATTGTAAATATTCATTGATCCTGCTTCTATTTTATGTTTCTATCGTGCATTGTCTTCTTAGTAAATGTTATTTCATTTGATTTTCAAGGATTTCAAGCATTATCAACCTGTGCTATAAAACTTTGACCGGCCACTGGCATGGCCATTGTACTAACCAAAATAGTTAGTCTTTAATTGAACCAGTTGAATTGGTAGATATGACATTATCAAAAAATTAATAACTCTAGATTTAATCATGACAAATATTCCAAAATATATTCATATCATACTTTTAACATTTCATACTATACTTGAATAGACATTCACAAATTTATAGATTCATATCATACTTTAACATTTCTATATTTTGAATAGACATTCACAAATTTATTTTCAATTGTATGATTCTAATGTGGAACATCATTTGCAACTGTTATGGTGACTCGGAAGACCTCCAGTCATCAGTTTCCATATCAAATCAGTCGATTTAAATCAAATTTCATCAGTCTTTCCAATCTAATTAGTGATATGGACCGGTCACATGATCGGTTCAGGATCAAATATATCAGCAAAATCATCAATAGCCATCAATAAGCCAATAACAAGCATTGTTAGCTACTCTATAAAAGGTAAAAATAGGCTAGTGGAACAAAACATATACTCACACACAAGTTCAGAATTCAGATGCAAACTCACCTCAAACAACAAGAATCAAGCTGGTGAAGTCAGTTAGCTACGTGTGATTCAACCAAGATTTCCTGAAAAGAAGAGAATATAAGTCAAATGCAGTCAATATGGCATTTCGTCGAACAGTTGATGTGCATGGAAAATTAAGGTTACATACTTATGCATCAAACAAGTACAAAGATAAGGAAAGACTCATCAGCTAGCAAATAGAGTTATGAATCCAACAATTTAGTCGGAGAAACCACTGCACATCTGTCAATAAACAACCACAACAACAAATATTAGTATAAGATTCATACAAGTCAAAAGAAAACAACTTGGTGAGACTCAACAGCAAGCAAAGACATGTCAAAAATCATATTGTGAAAAACCAAAGCACAAAATTACCTTGAAATTGGTGGGTTTTAGAATTGTGGATTATCGAGTAGCAGAATCGAGAAGTGGAACGGCCGATTGCCGAGCAAAACCATAACAACTGAAAGGAAGTTAAAGAAAACAAAATCATCCAATAAATATATACAGCTTCTAAACTTCAATACCAAGATCCTGATATCAAAGGAAAAATTCATATTACAATAATAAATCTTCTTGAAAGCATCAATCAATACAGTATTTGAAGCTCTCTACAAAAGTATATTATATCAGTCCGGAATTAGAACCATACAATAGTTTGCATAAGTTCTCTGTCCGATCAAATTGTTATAAAGAAATCAGGCTTCTGTATGAAATACTTGTATATTGCTCTTCTATTGCTCTTGTAAAATAAAATACACTTTTGATCTTTTATAGATCCAAATAACTTTTACAATTCTAAAACATAAACTAAAACATAACTGCTACTAATAACTTAATAACTTACTAAAACTTTTGTCCTTCCTACTACCATGTTTAATGTAAAACTTTATTACTAACACATTTAATGTATATTTAACAAAACTCCTCTGTAAACTTAAATGTTTCTTCCATCCAGCATTCCTATCATCTTCTTGCCTCTGTCGAAGACCTCTTTTGATAGTGGTTTTGTAAAAATATTCGCTGCTTGGTTTCTGCTTGCTACATGCCTTAATTCGACACTTCCCTCCTTCACATGTTCACGAATGAAGTGAAATCGAACATCAATATGTTTGCTTCGTTCATGATTCACTGGATTCTTTGCCAATTGGATAGCTGATTTATTGTCTACTTGTATTATTGTTGGATCTTCCTGTTTCAGCTTCATCTTGCTTATCAATCTTATGAGCCATACTGCATGACATACGCACCAGGATGCTGCCACATATTCAGCTTCACACGTCGAAAGTGTTACTATAGGTTGTTTCTTCGACAGCCAAGTAAATGTTGTGTTTCCCATGAAAAACACATATCCAGAGGTGCTCTTTCGATCGTCTATGTCTCCACACCAGTCACTGTCAGAATAACCAACTAACTTGTAGTCTTCTGTTTTTGAGTAAAACATTCCTAGTGATACTGTTCCTTGGATGTATCTTAGAATTCGTTTCAGCGCCTTCCAATGTGTGTGTACTGGCTCCTCCATGAATCGACTCACTATGCCAACACTTAGTGAAATGTCTGGCCTTGTGCATGTGAGATATCGAAGGCTACCTACCAAGCTTCGATATTTGCTTCCTTCGACCCGTTCTCCTCCATCAAACTTTGATAGTTTTGTACCTGGTTCCATTGGTGTCGAAGTTGAATTGCAATTCTTCATTTTATATTTTTCTAAGATTTCCTTTGCATATTTTTCTTGTGAGATGAAAATTCCAGCTTCTTCTTGTCGAACCTCCAGACCAAGAAAGAATCTCATCAGACCTAAGTCTGTCATTTCGAATTCGCTTGTCATGGTGCTCTTGAAATCTTCGATCATCTGAACATCACTGCCTAGAAAGATAAGGTCATCAACATAGAGAGCAACAAGTAATAAATCACTTCCATTTTTCTTCACATAGAGGGCGGGTTCATAAGGACATTGCTCGAACCCATTCTCTTTGAAATATGTGTCAATACGTGTGTTCCATGCCCTAGGTGCTTGCTTCAGCCCATACAGTGATTTCTTCAGTTTCAACACCTTCTTCTCTTCTCCAGTTCTCATATATCCAAGTAGTTGTTCGACATAGATTTCTTCTTCGAGCACACCATTCAAAAATGTTGTCTTGACATCCATTTGAAATATTGGTCATTTGAACTGAGCAGCTTAAGAAATGAGTAATCGAATTGTTTCCATTCTTGCAACAGGCGCAAATACTTCGTCATAGTCAATTCCTGCTTTCTGTTTGTATCCCTTCGCAACTAGCCGTGCTTTGAATCTTTCGATTTCTCCTTGAGAATTCATCTTTTTCTTGAATACCCACTTTACACCAATGGGTTGACTACCTTTTGGCAATTCGACTAGCTCCCAAGTATTGTTGCGTTCGATTGCTCTAATTTCTTCGTCCATGGCACTTTTCCACTTCTTGTCTCGTAACGCTTCTTTGACGCTGATGTTTTCAGCATCTGCCAGAAGACACACAAGATGCACCTCACTTGTTGAATCATACAAATCTTGCAAACTTCTCATTTTGGGTTGTAGAGGTTCATCTCCATCTTCTGTTTCTTCATGTTCTGTTGGAATACTAGTTGGTACAGCTACTGTTGTTTCTTCGACTGTGTCAACAACCTCTGTCGAAATGTTCCAGTCCCACTTGCTTGCTTCGTTCATTCGAACGTCTCTGCTCACGATCACTTTCTTGCTTATGGGATTGAAGAGCTTGTACCCTTTCGTCTTCTCATCATATCCAATGAATATGTACTTATGACTTTTGTCTTCAAGCTTCGTTCTTCTTTGATCTGGTACATGTGCATAAGCTATACTACCAAATACCTTGAGATGAGAAATTGTTGGCTTCTGTCCACTCCATGCTTCTTGTGGTGTTTTGTCTTCTAACTTCGAATGTAGACATCTATTCTGAATATAAACAACACATTGTACTGCTTCTGCCCAGAATTCTTTCGACATGTTCTTGCTTTTGAGCATTGATCGAACCATGTCAAAAATAGTTCGATTCTTCCTTTCAGCCACACCATTTTGCTGAGGTGAATATGGTGTAGTTAGGAATCTCCTTATGCGTTCTTCACAGTACTTCACAAAGGCCATTGAAGTATACTCACCTCCTCTGTCAGATCGAATTGCTTTGATGTGTCTGTCTGTTGAATTCTCTACCATTACTTTGAACTTTTTGAACACTTCTAATGCTTCAGACTTTTCTTTCAGCAAGTAGACCCGGGTTTTTCTTGAGAAGTCATCAATAAAAGAAATGAAGTACCTTTTTCCACCGAAGGATTCTGGAGTGATTGGCCCACATATGTCAGTATGTATCAATTTGAGAATATGTTTAGCTTGATACTCTGCCTTCCTTTGAAATGAGGTTCTTGTTTGTTTGCTGAGCACACAATCTTCACAGAATTTTCCTTCGAAATCCATGTCTGGTAGTCCATGCACCATGTTCCTTTTCGCCAACCTTTTCAAACCAGCATGATGTAGATGACCAAAGCGCATATGTCATAGTGACGCTTTGTCTTGCACTTTGATTTGCAGACATTTCTCTCGAATGTTCCTCAGGTTCAGTTTGTACATTCGATTTCTTTCTATTTCGACAGCGGCAATCAGATATCCTGCTTTGTCCTTCAAATGCAGTGTTCGATCTTTCATCAGTATCGAAGCACCTTTTTTTGTAAGTTGTCTCAGACTTAATATGTTGGTCTTGAGATCTGGTACATAGTAAACGTCTTCGATTGATCCAATCAAGCCATCCTTCTGCAAGTAACTGATTGTGCCCTTTCCTTCGACCTTCACTTTCGATGCATCTCCAAAAGACACATTACCATCTTCAATTCTCTTCATATCTTTAAACAGGTATTTGTAACCACACATGTGATTACTTGCTCCTGAGTCAAGATACCAAACACTGTTATTGGTGTTGATTTCGTTTTGATCCATCGGGAGAAAGCCTTCATTCGATTCAGCTTCCAAGGCTAGGTTGGTTGTTTCTTCAATCTTCTTTTCGATTCGACAGTCTTTTGCAAGATGTCCCACTTTGTCACAGTTGTAACATTTGTAGGAGTTACAATCCTTCGCATAATGACCATACTTCCCACACTTGTAGCATTCGAAGTTGGAATAATTCGAACGACCACCTCTTTGACCACGTCCTCTGCCACGCCAATTTTGTTGGCTCGATTGTCCTCTTTCGAAGTTGCTACCTCTACCACTTCGACCACTGTCACGACCTCCACGTCCACGTCCTCTTCCTCGAAAGTTGTGAGAAAAGAGTACATTTTCGTCTTTGTTCGATTCCTTGGTTTGGTTTGCTTCTTTGTCTGCTTCTTCTTTCTTTTTCATCTTTCGTTGTTCATGTGCTTCGAGAGAACCAGCGAGCTCTTCGATTGAGAGCGTCGAAAGGTCCTTCGACTCTTCTATTGCACATACAATATTTTCAAACTTGTCTGTTAAAGATCTCAAGATCTTTTCAACAACTCGTGCATCAGGTACTGTCTCTCCATTTCTGGTGAGTTGATTCACCACCTTTTGCACACGTGTGATGTAGTCAGATACAATTTCTGTATCCTTCATCTATATCCTCTCCAATTTGCCACAAAGAGTTTGGAGTCGAACTTGCTTCACTCGATCTGCTCCTTTGAACACTTTTTCTAACGTGTCCCACGCTTGTTTCGACGTAGTCGAACCAGCAATTTTCTCGAAGCCTGATTCATCTACAGCCCTGAACAACATGTATAATGTCGTTTTGTCCTTCGATCGCGTCTCTTTCAACGCCTTCGTTTGAGCTGCTGTATATCCCCCAACTTTTGCTGGTTCTTCAAACCCATCATTGGTCACTTCCCACGCGTCTAGAGATCCAAGAAGAGCTTTCATTTGGATACTCCAGTTTTCATAATTAGACTTCGTTATCCGTGGCAACGACATTTGATTCATCATGTTTACCATGAGCTCTGATACCAAATTGTTATAAAGAAATCAGGCTTCTGTATGAAATACTTGTATATTGCTCTTCTATTGCTCTTGTAAAATAAAATACACTCTTGGTCTTTTATAGACCCAAATAACTTTTACAATTCTAAAACATAAACTAAAACATAACTGCTACTAATAACTTAATAACTTACTAAAACTTTTGTCCTTCCTACTACCATGTTTAATGTAAAACTTTATTACTAACACATTTAATGTTTATTCAACACAAATCGGCGAATGTCGATGCCAGCTACAACATCGTTGCGCCTCTGGCACATACAAAATAAAACATAGTTAACACGTGCATAAGAAATTATATAATAAGTAATTATGATATAAGCGCATAGCTAACTTGTTTGTCAAAATAATACCCTAACAATAAAGCTTTCATTTTACAGTACCCAAAAAAAGGAATCATGAAAAGAAATTACAGCAAAAAACTTTTCCATTGCTTTTGCGTACATAACCACCTTCATTGAAGAAAAAGCCTGAAAAGAACAAACTTCATTAGTGTGAAAGATTAGCATCATATTTGATTTTTCAAATGTCAAAAATAAATATTTG